GAATCACGATGGTTATATTATCAAAGACAAAGTGTTGGAATCGAACAATGTAGTGGCAGTGAGGTTGAAGACAACACCTATGGTTTTTTTTTTGTAAAAAAATATTGAACTTTGTTCTTTCTCACATTCTTCCGTCCATCGCAACCTCCGTCGTGTTCTTCGCCACCACCGTGTCTACCACTGCAACAGATCTCAAGGATAGTCCCTCTGCCTCGTTCTCATCTGGATATCCTCACTCAAGCCTCCATGTTCAGCGCAGCTCCCAATTTCAGATACACCATCATTGTTATTTACTCCCCCGTTACAGGGACGTTCACCTGGTAGGTTTGGGACCACCGTCCGGACAAGGTAGAGAGGAGGGGTTTAGTGGTCAATTCATAAAAAAAAACATTATTTACAACCAAGTCGCCAGGATCTTTCAACTATTTGTATATTGGTGGGATTTTTGGGTATAATTAAAATGCTTGTATGGAGCTGTCTAGTAATATTTCCTTTTTACTGTGAAAAAGGGAGGTTAGGTTTCACATTTAAAATAATTATGTTACCAGCAAGTATTTGAAATTTTAAAATAATAAAAATTATTTTGGTTTGGATCAAATTCAAATCCATCAATTTTAATGTACCCTAATAATAGATCTGGTCCAAATTCAAATATCTCTTGATCTAAACACGACATAAGATTTTTGAATACTCCAACAGTTCATATATATATATATACTAGTTTTACAAAACGCCGTATTTATACTTATAAATTAACGTTTAGACTTGATGTACATTACAAGTGTATCATAGAAAATGCATTAGACTGCAGAATGTATATTGTATAGAGTGAATATGTGGTTTAATGTAGCACAAAGTTGGTATGGGCTTTGGATTCAAAATGGATTAATTAATTAGTGATTTTTTCTTGGCTTATTATTCTGTTTCTTTGTTTGTTTTAAACGAAGATTTTTTTGGCCGATGATTAATGTATAATTAATTTGGGAATAGATTCGGTCAAGCCCATATAAGGAGAGAATGTTATACCCTCTCTTTGTTCAAATCCACAAACCTCGACTAGCAACCATTGATCCTACTTGAAGAATTGTGACCATTTAAGCACATGATCTTGGGTCTGAGTTGTGTAAATGCGAAAAACAATTTTTAGACAACTATCTCCAATTGAGGTGAAATAAAGATTCATTTTATTACAATCAATTTGATTCATGAGCATTACAAGATCGATAACGATATTACTAGAGATTCTCATTAGATATCCACCTCTCGAACATGGCAAGACATTCATCAGGTTTGAACTCTGGAGCTGTATGTCCTGCACCCTGCAGATAGAACAACAACAACAACAATCCATCCAATTAATATTTTTCGATCCCTTTCTTTAAAAAAAAAAAGTGTCAATGGTGTTTGGAATTTAAGAATAAAATAGTACATAATTTATACCTTGACAGTTGCGAATGTCATTCGATTGGAGTAAGTCCTTGTGTATCTATTGCAAAGATAATTGATTGCAATGCAATTAGACAGCAGATAAAATATATTAATGAAAGATTAAGAAAATATTAAGCAGTTTTTAGCACTGAAAGTTATAGAGAAATTTTTTGAGTTAAACGGGGAAAGTTGGAGAGAAATTAACAGAAAAATTAGAAAAGAGTTTTATTCAGTGCCTTCTTTTAAAGAAGATCCATTGCCTCATTGTTTTAAGCTTTTTCATGACAAAATCTTTTTTTAAATATTTTTGTAATATTTTACTATATTTGTTTAAAATTTTGAAAATAATCAAAATTTGAAAAAAATTAATTATTTTAAGAAGCTAATTTGAGTTTGAGTAGTTTCGAGAAATAATTGGATGCCTTAAATGAGAGAATGACATAAAAATACAAAGATATAGTATGAAAATATCCTAAAATTTTAAAAAACAAATTATCAAATCATTGTTATAAGCAAATACCTACAAAAATCCACAAAGCTATCATAAAATATAACAGGATTAATGAAACTTTCAAGCTCTCAAGTTTGCCTCAATTATCAATTTAGTCTCTCAAGTTTAATTTTCATCAATTTAATCCCTTATTTTTTTTTTAATTATCATGTTAGTCTTTTAAATTTTTTAAAACACAAATAAATTATTAAATTAGTCTAATATGTAAAATATGGTATTGAATTGTCATCTAATGAATTTAATTGTTATCAGCATAGTCCTTTACATTGCATGTTAAACTTTTGGTTTTTTCTTTTAATTTTAAATCTGCTTTCTCTTACCTAAATAACTACACTTTTTTTTATTAATCTACATGGTTTTCATCATATTCCATTGCTCATGTGATAGATTTTAATGGTATTATATTTTTTTGAAAATAATAAGAATCAAATCAATAAAAAATTAAATTTAAGAGCTGAATTGATAACTGAAGCAGACACAAAGGACTAAAAGTTTAATCATCTTAATTTAAAAATCACTATATAACAATCATTTTTATTATTGTAACCAAACATAAATTAATTTTATCTTTCAAAACTCTCTAAATTATTTCAAAATTGCTTAATTTTTTTTAATCTTAAACTGTGTATATATATGTGTGTGAGCCATACGTACCCAGCAACTTGGCCATTGACATGCCAAGGCCTCCAGTCATCAACAATGGAATAATTCAAAGATCTGATCCATGCTTGTGTTGATAAGAAAGAACAAGCCATGTCATGATCCCCACTGTATAAAACAACAAATTATATTTATGACTTTATAATTAACCATATCATTAAAAAACCAACCAGATTCTTTATTTGATACTGATGAGTTGATTAAAAAAAAGGTATATATACGTAAGTAAACTTCTGTTATCAAGACAACAAAGACTAAAAAGGTCGATAATGGTAATGTAATGGCATGAAAAGATACACGGAATTAAATCTGCTTGAACCTGAATATCAAGGAACGATAACCTTTGGCACTGAGATTTACATGAAAATGAAAGCTGTCATTGATTTCAAACTTAAAAGGCATATTATGATTACAACGCGTCCAGTGTCTTCCAGTTCCTGCAACACATGCAATCAGCCCAAAAAAACAACACACACACACACACGCATACATATATCTTGGGGGAAATAATTTCTGATGTTGGTGGAGTTTACTCCTTATATCATCAAAACAAAAAACCAAAGAAGGTTATAATATGTTTGGCTAAACCTCTTTAACATGGAGTGCTTTGCGAACGCAACCATTGTTGGCCCAATGTTGAGCTTGCAAATATCCGTGCCTCTGTTACAAAGATCAGGAATAATGTTGAACAATGACAGAGATTAGACAAAATCAATATATGTGTGTGTACACATTGTTATGAGTCCCATATCAAGGAGTCTCACTAGTGGATTGATGTTTATAAGTGTAAATGGCTATCATTCCTAACATGCTAGTCTTTTGGATGGACTTTCCTTTTGAATTTGTACTCATAATATTAGTACTTTTATTAAGAATCCTGTGTCATGAAATGAGTTACCCACGAAGGACTTGATAAGTATAAAGCCAAGTAAAATGTTGTAGAGTGGAGCCACGATGTTGGCTCCCAAAAGCATAGTAAACCTAATAAGTAGAACGGGAATTTCTCTTTTAACATATTAGTTTTTTGGAATGAACTTTTTCTTTAGATTTGTGCTCATGACACATATTCCAAAAACTTAAGGCTATATATGAAGCGGATTATTTATTTGGCTCAGCTTATGAACATGCATTTTAATCTTCTAACACGAAGTAGCATGCTACAAGGATGGTGATGTATAAATTCAGAAGATAACAAGAACAAACTAGATTAGAATAAGAATAGATTTTGGAGCATATTAATTACACATAAGAACAAAGTAGATAATACGTCCAGCAAATGAATATAAAGTTGTGACATTTCTTATTCAAAATTATATTTTCAGAGCCAGCAGCCACCTAAACTTGTCAGTCTAGGCTTATAATAATGTTATAAGCTTTCTATGTGTGTGTATATATATATATATATATATGATTATTTATGCATTGGTTCTTTAATTTGTTAATTACCTATTTCACAGTTGAGGCATTACAAACCTAGGAGATGCATCTCAGACACCAAACCCATATAACAAAATTGGCCTAATTAATCAAATTGGCATAGGTTCTAAAATCAAGGGATCAACTTGAGATATATAATAGTTGTTTGTTCATAATTAAGCTAATAATTAATTTAGTCCACTTCATTCCGGTCCTAGATGTATTATGAGCTAGTCGAGGGATCTGCTTTAATTCTAAACATGAGACTTCCATCTTATTTGTCTTTCAAATTTTATAATGTTTATTTTAGAAAAAATATCAATCAAAGATTGCTAGAAAAAATTCATATCAATCAAGAATAACTTATTGTTAAAACTTGAATGAATACTTGTTGATTTGGGTTAGTCTTTTATCAATAAGTATCCATTCAGGTTTTAACAATAATTCATTTTAAATTGAAAATAGTCCATTTGAGTTTTGACAATAATTTATTTATGACTAATATAAATTTTCGCCAATGAATAATGATTGCTATTTTGTCGTTATTTTAAGCTATCCCTATTGATTGTGCATATGAAAAGGGGGTTTTCATCAATATATGATATGCCAATGCAAATGATTGGGTACTTTAAGGAAACCAATACACAGGTTTTATAAACAACGTAACTAACTTAACTACTTTAATTTTTGTAAATTACTTTAATTATATGGCTCCTATATTTAGGATTGGAGGGAGTATTATGCAATAATAATTAATCACCCGACATCTTGATGCAGTGTTAGTGGCCTCCACTTTCTCAGCCAGAGATCTCTTTAAAATACTTCTTTGGGGCACCATTTTTAGATCATAACCGCAAAAGGCTGGTTCCAAAATCTGATATTGATCCACTTCTGCAATTAACTAAAACCAAAGAGCAACTGAACAATTGAAACTTATTAATAAATGGGACACACCCTTATGTTTATATTCTATAAAAAATGTAAGGTTGGAGATGATCATATTAGTTTAATACTATCTTTCCGTTCCAATTTATAAAATATTTTGAGGTTGTTTGGCATATGAAAATATAAGATGTTTTGACAAAAATAATATTTCATTAATTATGATTATTCTGATATGATACCCCTCATTATTTTGTTCTTTAAATAAATTTCTTTTCCTCTCTCTCTTATTAATAAAGAGTATTTTTGGAAGTTCGTAGAAGAATTAAAATTGTAAAATATATTTAATGAACTTAATTATATTGATATATATGCATAATTATGTAAGATAATGTCTTACAAATTAAGATGAAAAGAATAGTTTGATAATTATGGTACCTCTTGGAATGATTGAAAATCTCTAAGACATGACAAGTTTTTGGGGTCTATGTTTCTGTACTCCCCTCCACAGTTTTGCTGTAATGACTGTTCTTGTAGAATCCATAATAATTCGAATATGTTAGCATTACAACCTTTTTTTAATAAAATAATCATTTTAAGAATCTACATACTCATCAATGCATTACCTCGTAGAGTTCATCAGAGATCAGTCCCATTCCGTGAGCAAAAGGGATTGCATAATTTATTTCGTGCTTTGTTGTCACGGGATTCCCTAGAATGTATCCCTATCCATAATGTATAGAAATTTAATTTGAAACAATGTCCTTTAATTTTTGAATTATATTGAAAAAATTAATTATTTGATTCTTAACTATATTTTTAACTTGATTGTCATTTAATTTTTAAACTTTAACTCGCATAACTCAATCCCATAATCTAATTTAGTCTCTAAATTTTAACTAAATATAACTCAATTCTTATAATTTTAACTATTTGTAACATTAGTTCCTAAAGTTTGACAATAACTTTATGTAGGATTTTAAATTTATAGACTCATGAATAGTTTGTGTACCTGAACTCATAGATACTTAGTTGATCTCTCAGTAAAAAGAGAAAGGCGTCTAGATTCTTCAACCTACTTTTCCCTAAAAGCCTTATCGAAAATAGAGAACGATTGTAAGAGTCGTTAGGGAGAAAAACTCAAACTTTTCTATTATTGTCAGATCATGATAGGGTACTGCTGACGAGCAAAAGGTTTAGTTTGCAGTCTCTACTCAAATGGACTTATACGTGACCCTATCATAGAATACACATAGAAATAGGGCGCTATCTGTTATGTGCTTAGTATCAAAACAGGACTAATTGTTTAAAATGTAAATTAAATATTCCCATTAATTAATTAATGTCAATCCACATAATTATTAAATTAAACAAAATTTAATCTAACAGTTTATTTTTTATAATTTTATTTTCTAAAATATAGGAACTGAATTGTGAGAGTCAAAGTTTAGATACTAAATTTTAACTAAATCAAAATTATAGGGACATGATAATTAATTACTCAATTTACATATTGTGGGACTACTTGATTACATTATCATGTGGCACTGAGCTTCGTCTTTAATGTAAAAGAATTTAAAAAAAAATGGAGATTTATAGTTTGAAACCTGGATATTTATTCGTGGTTGGACCCCATTTTCATTCGCTGAAACAGCATATGCATGTGAATATGTATAATCCTTATTATATTAATTACAAATTAATTAGATGAATAGAATACATAAATTTTGAGTTTTAATTTGTACCATATGAAATTTCTTGAAACAAGGCTGGGATGGGAATGCCCGAATAGGAATCACCAGACAGATACACTTTATGTGATAGGTATTCCGGATGATTGATCAACCACTGCAACAATTAATAGATATGTTACAGCTTACTATTTGACCATTATCAATATGTATTATATAATAAAATGTTTTAATATATATATATATACAAGATAAATAAAATATGAAGTTGCTTGGGTGAATATAATAGACCTTCCTCAAAAATTGGTGGGCATGATGGATTAGGGTCCAATCACTCTGCTCAACAATTTCTTTTTCGTTGGTGTAACTGAAACCTGCTCCAATAGGTAAATCTACAAAGATAATACTACTTACCTGATCATGCAAAAGCATTTATATAATCAATATGAGTATTGCTATATTTTCATATTCAAGCTGGTTGTAACATGAAAATTTTTAATCCAATATTGTCAAGAAGATTTAAAAAACAAAATTCCGATCGTCATGTCATATTATTATTCAATTCCAACTTTAAAGGGAGAATGCCATTTGAGACTTAGAAGACAATTCAACGACAATTACATCCTAACAAAATTAAAAAAAAATGAGTTATAAATATTGATTGAGAAAGTAAAATTGTAAATTCATGAATCTTAATGGACAAAAAATATTTTAAGTTCAAAAATTTACTCTTAATATTTAAATTCATGAGTCTGGATCGATATTCTCAAGTCTTTTTAAACTTTTTTTTGTTAAGTACTTAATTATCATTAAATCAATATTTTGAGTCTTAAATATCATTCACTCAACTTAAAATGACATTTTCACTTGTTATCGGGATTGACACGTCACGAAAATACACAACACCAATTCAAAATAAACAATGGGATCTAGAACATAAATGCTATCAAGCTTGCTAATGCCTACACAAATTAACCCAAAAGCAAGTTAGGAATTAATCCAATGCATATACAAGTAACCTTAGTCCATGATTGTGGCCTCAACACTAAGCTAGGCAAGCTCCCATTGTATTCTTGGTTTACAAATGCAAGTGGCCCTATGTAACATACAAATATGAAAACAATTATTACTGATCATTTGTGGAAAAACAAATTAAAAGGACTTCAACCTCATTTGTGATTATTATTTTGATGAATAAGAGGATTCAACTTTAAAGATGTTGACCTATTTCAAAGGCAAGGCCCATCAATCCAGAGCAACCAGGACCCCCAGATAGCCAAAGAAGGATAGGATCATCTTCATGATTGTTCTCAGACTTGATAAAATAATAGAAAACTTGCACTTCTTCTGATTCCCCAATTCCCACGTGCCTGACCAAAACATGTTTAAAGTTCTAATTATAATTTAATGATAATGAAACTTTTAGCCTCTTAAATTTATTTCAGTTATTGATTTGGTCATTTAAATTTAATTTTTATTAATTTAGTTCCTTACACATTCTTAAATTATCATATTTGTTCTTTAAAACTTAAAAAAATTAGCTCTCAAATTAATACCATGTGTAAAGTATGTTGATGATATGACACGAACATATAGGTTAATAACAATAAATTAGTTCTCAAATCAGTTTGATTTTTATTAATCGACTTCATTATGCTGCATTTTGTTATTTTGTTCTTTAAAATTTTTCAGTTTTTTTCTTACATAAATAATTACACTTCTTTAAAATATTTCATTAACTGAGATTAGGGAAAAACAAATTATAAATTGGATAAATGAAATTTCATAATTAGGGCAAACTTGTGACAAACTTGAGAGACTGAAGTAATAGCTAAAAAAAACTAGTGGAATAAAAGCTTCATTATGCTTAAATTTTAAAGGCTTAAATGGCAATATGGACTTTAAACTATATACTTAAGAGTGATTTGAATCCTATAAACTCATTTTTTGCGTGCATTCCTGAAACAATTACACTTATGGCAATTTGGTGCGTTAATTTTAAGTAAACGTCCCTTACTTGTGGCCCCGTGAATTCTCTGTCTTCAAGTCTCTGTCTCTCTCCCCCCTCTCTTGCTGTTATCGCCGACCCTTTCACAACGGAACCCTTGAACAATGCACATTTGCCGACCCTTTCTACGACATAGGCGGATTCGACATAAGAGGTGTTCATGGGTGAGATAGGGACGAGGAGGTTCAGGTGTGAAGAACTGAAAGTGTTTCGATGGAGAGTAAACCATTGAAGATTACCATTAGGACAATGAGAGCAAAGAGCCAGGTAAAGAACGTGTTGCTTACAGTGAAGCAGAGAACGAGAGCGATAGGGATAAGTGTTGGGAATGAGGAACGCGAGCTATGCATGCATCAGTTCAAAGTGAGGTCGTTCGAAAGGGAGGGGATGAGATTCAGTGATGGCAATTCTGAATCCGTGGCCGAGGATGACGACATTGTTGGTGTCGGGACTGTTTTCTTTGCTTTGCACGCATGTTAGATAACAAAGAGCAAATACGATGGGATCCTCAAATTTGTTTCCCACATATAATGAACGTTTACTTGAAATTAACAGTAGTAGTCAGATTATCATGAGTGTAATTGTTTAAAGATTAAAATGTATTAAAAAAGATATTAAGGTTCAAATTACTCCTAAATCTATAATTTTGAGAGTGTAATTGTTTAGCGGTTGAAATTGTTATTTAATCCAAATTTAAATATAAAATATAAATTTTTAGTATAATGATCTAGAATGATAAATAAATGAAATAACTAAGGAAAACTTAAAGGATCAAATTAATGAAAATTAAATTTACAGGACTAAATTGATAATCGAAACAAATTTGAAGGACTATAAATTTTGTTATCTATAAAATTTAATTATAAATTGGCAGTACAATGGTCAGAATGATAAATAAACGAGATACCCTGTTTCAAGGTGAAAAGGAAGAGGTCCTTTGAAGCCGGGAAGAAACTCTACTGTAGAACCAGAAGCCATAAGTGGAGAGAAAATCTGCAAAAGGAGAACAAACAGAGGCAATACGATCTGGCAATAAGCATAGAAGATAGATGCACTGTGATTTGAACTTAGCCTCGCCATTTTTTGTGATAAAAAGGCCACTGTTTATCTACTTGCCTCTTGAGCGTCTATATATATGTCTGTCAGAAACATGAACAAGCGAGTAGTTCTAAATCCAATGCATATTTTAATTACACATGCTGTGTCCTTATTCTATAATTCATCCAATTAATTCCTCTGTCGCTTTTCTTTTTCATTTGGTATGCCAACAAATTAATTATTTATTAGTTTAGTAATTCTTGTTATGGAAATTGTTTTAGTAGAGAATCAGTGGTGTCATTACTTCCATACTATGCCCTTTTAAAATAAGTTATAATTAATTGGGTTAATTGCATGTGAGAGTATCACAATCATATTTATATTGGAATATTTTCAAAATGAAAAATGGATTTTTTTTTTGAAAAGTCACATCCTTATAAATTAAAGAGTTATATCCTTATAAATTAAGAAATATTTTTATGAAAAGTTATGTAAAGAGTTATAGTCACCAAAGTCATATCTCTTTAAATGCTAAGAGTACCTTCGGAAGGTTATAAATTAAGGAATATTTGCATGATTTTGTTTTCCCAAAAATATTCATAATTAGGGGATGTAATTAATAAAGTTTTTTAATTAAAATATTCTATTAAATAATAATAAATATGAAAAAAGTAGGCAATTTTAAAGATAATAAACTAACTCATTAAGAATGTAATTATATTTTAATTAAAAATGTCTTATAATATTAAATGGAGGGAGTATATATAATCACAACCAAACGCAATGGAATTGCATTCCATCACAGGTTCATTTCCCACAAAATTGTCTTGTAGACATTTTAGTCCTCACCATAATCATCGTGTCTTCCTTCACACGCCCAACATCATTCTTGCCATCATCGTCCCCTCCATGAATACATTTTGGGTAATATTGCCCCTTTCTTTAGTTAAGGATACTAGATGCTCTCTGCGTGATACTTCAAGTACAAATTTACACATTAACCCCTTTTTTACACCTTTACAATAGCATATGTCGTATCTATCGTTGGGGTAAGTTCTCGTGAATCTATACCAAAGGTAAATAAATTTCTTGTAAGGGTAAATGGCAATCATGGAATTATATGTGCAGCCTTATAATCACCACATATATTATATACAGACATATGATCATATAATTCAATGAGACGCACACGTTATATATAAAATAATAAAAATAAACTCAATAAAATGAGAGATTTAAGTTAGAACCTACGCAGCAACTTGGTCATTGACATGTGGTGTTGATATGAAAGGATATTCCTTGTCATGATCACCAATAACAGAATTTTATGTATTAAGTTTCCTTTTGAAATGTTTCAATCAATAAGATTTATAACATATTAATCCCGCTTGTAATAAGTTTTTTTATTTATAAAAAGTTTGGGTGATAATACATGCAAATTAAAAAATTAATTAAAATTAGTTAATATTGCCAATGCAATTTTAAGAGCCGGACTAGAAACCGGAGCCACCAAAAAACTGTTTGTGGTTGAGTAGCCATTGAGATGAAAATTTGAAAGATTTTTAGAAACCAAGAGTCTAAACATAATATAAAAAAGGTAATTTAAAAAAAAAAGAAAAATGTTGACCGTATCAAAGGTCAACTTCATTTTTGAACCTTTTATATGTATATAATATGATTCGAAACCATTTTTTTAAGAAAATGTTGACCATTATAGGTCTAAATATAAATACTTTTAATCATACTCATATCTAATTTAATCAATATTTACCTATATTTGATAAGTTATAAAATTATAATTTATAATATTATTGTTTTATGGTTATATCATGTTATTTTATTAACAAGTAGACATAATGTGAATTTATTTCTTCTATATATACATATACCTCTCATATGCATTTACTGTTATTTTTATTTAATTATTATGTTATCCATTTAATATCTGGTTTAGTTTTTTAAAAACCAAGACTCACTAATCTTTTTGGTTTTACATCTGATCAAGTTTTTAAAATATTGATTATTGCTCTTAAAATTATTAATCCTTGAAAAAAAAATACTACTACCTTAAATAAAAGGAAGAAGGACAATAAAGTCCCAAAATAGAGAATTTATGACAAGTAGATCCCCAATAAAATTTTCTGAAAAATAAGTTGTAGATATCAATTCAAAACAGTTGCAAACAAGAATCTCAATTACAAATTGAGAATTATATTTAGACTTTAAATGTCTTATTTGTAATTAAAATTTTTAAATTTGCAATTGTCTGAATCAATATATTTACAACTGATATTGTAGAAATTCTTATCAGGGACCTAATAGTCGTATATTCATTATTTTGGGATTTGAATGTCATTCTCCCTAAATACAATGAATTCAAAAAAAATCTTATTTTGTTTCACCAACCAAACAAGTTCTTATTGAAGATTACACATGCATATAATATATATTTTCAATTTTCAAATATATGTATAGCTTCAATTTTACGAATACACACCCAACATTTGATTTTTCTTCAAACAAATTTTACATCATCGTGAGAGTTGATCCCATGTCGATTAGAGAGGCTCATTTGATATCCACCTCTTGAGCATGGCAAGGCATTCTTCAGGTTTGAATTCTGGAGCTGTATGTCCTGCACCCTGCAATTATCGTAATTAAATTAGATGCATAAAAGTTCTTTAAAGTGTAATCATATTGTATGGTATGTTTTATTGAAAACGACAAAGTTACTTTTTTTATTTTAATACCTTCATGGTTGCAAATGTCATGTGATTGGAGTAAGTCCTTGTGTTTTCAAAGATAAATAAATTGAAAATGTAAGAGCAAGTATTATCCTTAGAACTGCGTGCGTTTGTAATAAATATGAATGCAATAATATGAGCGATTTAATTTAGAAATCTACCCAGCAACTTGGCCATTGACATGCCAAGGCCTCCAATCATCAACAACGGAATAATTCAAAGATATAATCCATGCTTGTTGCTGAGAAAGGACATACCATGTCATGATCGCCAGTGCAAACAACACGATTTCATGTATTATAAAATTTTTTTTTTTTGGTCGAAAAGAGAGAGAGATATCATTAACACGAAATGTCCCAATGCAACTGCAGAAGAGAAAAGGAAGAAAAAATGATAGAGTGTAATATAGGCTAAGCCGAACTATATGAGTTGAAAAAAAAAACCAAAAAATCTGAGTTAGATTGGGTTAGAGCCCATTTGATCCAAAAGTTATCTAGTAGGGCCAGAAAAAATCAATTTTTATTTGAGTGAATTTTTTCAGCCCAACGCTACTCGGTTCAACCCATATAATATAATCTTACCCATATGCCCGACTTTAAAAAGTTCTTTATGAGGGGAAAAAATCAAACAGATAGGTGGCAGATGGAGGAACTAAATCAAAAAAGAACACCAAACGATAGAGATTGGGGGTTTGACAAGCCAACCTCGAAGGGACAGTCCTTTTAAAAAAATGCAGTGTTTTCAGAACCGGACCGGACATTGAACCGGAAAAGTCAGCGGTTCACGGTTCGCATGGTTCAACCGGTTGGACCAATGGTCCAACCGGTGACGTAATAATTAAATTAAAAAAAAATTATATATGTATATAATAATTTAAATATAAAAAATACATATAAAATTGCTATTTAACTTAAAAAACTTAAATATTTTAAGTTTATTATGACTTAACAAGCTATATGATACACTATAATATCAAATGATTAAAAAAATTAGTCATTTTTTAAAAAAATTTGATAAAAAATAAAAAAAAAGTTTTTTTTTGAACAGTCCGGTTTTTGAAAACCGGATCCGGTTCCCGGTCCGACCGCCGGTTCGAAACGGCTCAACCCGGCTCAACTCTGAAAACGGTTTTTTCCTTTGAACCAGACCGGAAACCAGACCGGTCGACGGTCCGACCGGTCCGACCGGCCGGTCCGGTCCGGTTTTCAAAATAGTGAAAAAATGCTTAGCTATTCAATCATTAGCTAATAGCTAGAACAAGAGAGGAAGGTAGATTCTCATAATCTGCTACAAACTGCTCACTAACTAAATTTCCCCAAAAGATGATAAAACTCCATAGCAACAAAAGCAACTAGCAAGAAATTAAACTTAATAATTTCCAAACTTTATTTTCTGGAGGTACCCATCTCATGTCGCACATCCTTGGGTCTTTGTCCAATCAGCCTCATTGGATCAATACAATCATGCCAAAAAACTCACCACCAAACCATATATACCACCTGAATTCATGCATTATAGTGCAAAGCCTATTTGATCTAATCTGTCTTGTATCTCATCTCGAAAAATAAAAGGGATTGAATTTTTGTCCAAAAAATCACCTCATCCTATTTAGGAATGAGACAAGACCGAGACTTCTGGATAAAGGAGACAAAATGTGAAAAAGAGACATAATAACAATATTTATTAAATTATATAACTTGCTAAATCCAAGACCTAAACAATATGAATACATAAATTCAATCATTGAGTTATTGCAACTACAATTCAAAATGAAAACATATATATACTCTAACTCTAACTGAATGGATAAAGTATTAAATTTAAATATTAATAAAAAATAAAATATAATAATATATTCAGGATAGGACAGGATGTCTTGATGGTGATCCAGTGTCCCATCCCAAATATATTTTTGTTTTGTCCCACAAAATCTCATCCTTTTTCTTTTTTCAAGTTAGCACAAGCTTGTTTCGATATGATTGGGACAAAATTGGATTAAATGGGACGAAGACATGCATCAACACTCCTAATTAAGATAAATATATTATTCACTAAGTTTAGGTGATAATTCGTACAAGCCAAGAAAATTAATTGAAATTAATTGTTGTTCTCACTTTTGTTACCTCCTTTTAAAAAATACTGCTACCTTAAATACAAGGAATTGTGACAGTCTTACTAATGTGTTTCGATCCCTCTCTCTACTATAATTACTCAATGTTATCCATGCCAACGGCAAAAAAATTTGTCACTTGTTTTATAGAATTGACAAAATAATTTACAAGTAGGACTATGAATAGA